ATAGATCACAAACGGCTTGGAGCCGAGCAGGTGGACCCTGAACTTGACAAGTGCATACGTTTTTGCAAGTAGCTCCTTGTCATGAACTGGGTAGTTTTCTCCGCAGCTTTGAGCTGTCGAGACTCAAACGCGATCACCCGATCTCGCCCCTCAGCGTCTACTTTCAGCAGTGCACAGCCGTTAAAAAAGTCCAAAGCTTCACAGACGACGCTGAAAGGACGATCAGGGTCTGGCAGCACCAGTATTGTTGCATGCAGGAGGCTGTCTTTTACCACGTCAAAAGCCTCCTGATGTTCGGTGTTCCAACACCATTCCGCATTCTTTTTAAGGAAATTGGATAATGACCGGGCCATTGCTGCGTAATTTACGCTATACTTGAGCAAGTAGCAGGCTAGACCACTTCCGCAAGTCCTTCTGGTTCTTCGAAACCGGCCAATTTACAGTGGTCTTGACCTTAGCGGGATCCGCTCGACGGCCACACTTCCCAATAAAGCACCCTAAAGCGCCAAAGATGCACTTGTCTGCATTGGCTTATAGTTTGTTCGTGTGCATGCACTCGAGGATCGCTCTTAAGTGGACGATGTTATTCTCCTCATCTGTCCTCCCGTACTCCGCACGACAACGAATGAAAATGTCGTCAAAGTATGCATGTGCATTCGCCCTGTGAGGCCTGAACAACTGCGTCACAAGACGATTGAATGTTGCTGGTGCATTTAACAGCCCTTGAGGCATCACCAGCCACTCCCAGAGCATGACGCTCGGAGTGCTCAACGCTGTTAGCGGAATCTCATGAGCAATTGGTAATATCCATCGACCAAGTCGAGTGCACTGTACTTCGTATCCCACCATGTTGTTCTACAGAACATTCATTCTAGGAATCGGCGTCTGTGCTGGAATGGCGGCAGCGTTGAGCTTATTGTAAGCACGAACGATACGCTACTTGCCGTTCGGCTTCCGAACACAAAACGTTGGTGTCGAATGCGGAGACTTGCTATCACGTACAATCCCTGCGTCGTGCTTAGCACGGAAAATGGCGTCAATGACGTCGCACTGCTCCTTGGGTAGGGGCCATTGGCGTATTACGCAGTATTTGGTTCCCGGAATCAGGTCGATCTCATGACGCACACCTCGGTCCGGAGGTAGGACGGAAGGCGGGA